AGGCTAAGAGGTGATAATTCTGACAAAAACAAAAACCACTGTCTGACTTTGTCTCATATAGAATCCATGTCATTGACATATTTGCATTGGATATGTATTACTTAATAATTGCCAATCACCAACAGACCAATGATGTTTTCGTCTTGAAGAAGCAAATTAAAAGTGCATCGTGGACATCTGTGTACAGCGGAATGTCCTTAGCTGAGACTGGTGGCACAGGCTTGTAACCCCAGCTACTCAGATGACCGAAGCAGAAGGATGAGTTCAAGACCCGCCTGTGCTGCAGAGTGAGTTTAAATCTAGCCTGAGCGACTCAATGAAACCCTGTCTAAAAAAAAGTTTTTAAAGACAACTGAAAAGTAAAAAGAGGCTGGTGATGTAGCCAAACCGTACTTCCATCATCTGTACCAAACTTTCCACTTCCTGTTGTGCTGGCCTACCGCTCCCACACGGTGGCGCTGCTAGGCTGCCGGCTGCTTCCAGCCCCGGGACCTTGGAGGGAAGGGGCGGGGTGTCTCGGTGAGCAGATTGGTTGCTTCGGCATCCTGCCTCACTAGGTGGCACCTGGAGCATGGGCTCTCAATAAATCAGCCGTCCCTGTGGGTGGCTCAAAGGGCTCCTCATCTCCCAGTGACAAGCCTGATTCCTGGGTCACACCCATATGGTCTTTAGGGTTCACTCTAGAGATACTGATTTCTAGAGGAGGAGCCCACGCCGTCGTGACCCATCCCACCCGTCATGGGAGTTGTCAGAGGTCTGTGGTGAGGCAGTTGGTCCCAACTTCCTCTGCATGGAGACTCCGTGCTTGGACCTCAGTCTCTGAGCAAGTGGGTATTTATTCCTCGGGACCTCCCACAGCTCCCCACAACCCTCATGAGGTCATGTTCCTAAACTGGCTTCGGGGACTGTCCCTTCGCTTGCCCTCTCCGGGAATTATCTTCTCCCAACGCCCCATCCTCTGTCTCCCCGGAGCCTCTCCTCCCTTCTGCCTGCCAGGGTTTTTCTCTTTGGGTTCGTGCTCTTGCAAATGCTCTTCCACTCCCTGTAGCTTAAATCCTGCCTCCTTCTGGAAATCTCCCCAGCGTCCTCCCTCCCAACATTACACTTGATTTTGGCCGTATGTTGGGCAGGGCCCCATGAGAACTCAGAGACTGCTGCCTGGATCATCACCCTTCCCCTGTGCCAGGACCTGGGGCACCAGCAGGCACCCACGTGTCCCTGCCTTGTATGAAGGCTGGGGAGCAGTGCCCGCCTGGTGCAGGGGGTGCGGGGTGCGTGTGCTTCCGTCAGAGGAACACGACAAAGGCCCTGCCAGGGACCCGGTGGGGCGGAGTGGAGATGGTAGACTCGAAGAGAAGACGTTTGCTCAGTCTGGGCCTCCCGGGGACCTGCTGCCTGTGGACACGAACCAGGATGCCTGGCATGCGGCTCCGCATCCGATGGGAGCCCAAAAGCCTGGCCTCTGTCCAGCACATGCCACTATCCGCCACTATGATTTTATATCTCTTCTCTACCTGTTTCGTCTCAGTGTACCCGAGGGTGGACCCTCGCCCACTGTAGCCCAGGGTGAACCTTCACCCACCCATCATCAAGGGCTTGGCTGGTTCCTAGGAGCCTGTGAGGATGGCTTCATTCCCGTTTCCCGGCCGGTGTTGCCCCCTCAGCCTGGGCAACCCCCGTTTCCCAGGGGATGTGTGTGAACTCCTTCGTTTCTGCTTATGTCCCTTTCTTCCAGGAAGCCATCCCTGGTTTGGTGTCACTCTGGGGGTTCCCACGATCAGCTGAGCTTCTTTGACTCTCTCCGGCTGCCCCCATGTGGTCCTCACTGGTGACCTACCTTTCTGCTGTATTAGTCAGGGTTTGGTCCTTACTCTGTGGCCTCTTGCCTTGCCCTCTCCAGAGTCCACCGTCCTTACTGAATCCCCAGACTCTGAGGGTCCCCTGCCCCTGAGCCATTTCCTGCCTCGGGCTGGCTCCCCTCCTTGGGCAAATTTTCCTCACTCCCACACTCTCAGGCAGATTTTTCCATCTGCTCCGTCTCCTGGTGCTGCCTCCAGACATACACCTTTCAATCCCATCTGTCCCTGAAAGGCATGAACCTGTCCCCAAACCTCAGGCTCACTTACACGGGCTGCCAGCCCCCCTACTGCTTCCCGACCCTCAGAGGGCAGAGCAGGCTTGAAGCTCAGTCCCTGCAGTGTCCTTCACCCTCCACCCTGGGAACCAGGAACCTCGTGCCCAGTCCTCTTATCCCACAGTCTCCCTACATCAGCTGTCCCCATGAAGTCTATTCCCAATGCGGAAGCCAACCTGTAAGTTGGCTGACTCTGTTCAGACTTTCCCCAAGCCACCTCCCCACCAGAGAGTCCCTCCTGGGCTCCCAGGTCCTCAGGAACTGACCCGGGCCTCTACCGTTTCATCAACCATCTCAGGACCTTTGACACGGCTCTCCTTTTGGCTTCTGATGGTCTCCCCATGTCTACACAGCACCCCCTGCTCTTCCACTGAGATCTCTGAGGTCTCCGTGGATTAATTTCTCCAAAGCCACTCCCTAGCACTTTCCATCTCCTCCCTGGCTCACTCATCACCTCGGACACATCACCCTTGTCTATGTGTTCATTATCCGTCTCCTCCACCAGACTCTAAGTCTGGGAGGGCAGGGATTTTCTTTTCTCTCATGTTGGAGCCTCAGTGCCTAGAACAATATTGGACATGCGGTAGACTCAATAAACAGTCACCAAGTTAATGGATAACCAAGTCCATCTTCACCAGACGGTGAAGACCCAGACCACAGGGACATGCCTGTGCTCACCTCCATAGCCTGAGACTCAAGTTGTAAGAAATGCTCAGCGAATGCTGGTTAGCTGCATTGATGAAAGGTTGGATAAACGGGCTAAGAACACTGACTATCCCCGAGGGCTGTGACTTGGGCAGGCGTTTGGTCTGAGTCTGCAGGAATAGGCAGGGTTATCCACCCTGGATTCTCCTGCTTCCTGAGCCGTTCAGGATCTCCTGGCATAGAGGCCCCAAATTCTGCCTGCTCAGATCCTGGAGAATTGCTTTCCCTCTTCCCAACAATGAGGGGAAGTCCAGGGTGCCATGCTGAGCCACATAAAGCTGCTTCTGAGGTTCCCAAGCAGAAAGCCTAGTGCTGGGGGTGTGGAGGGGGGTGTGGGTCTCCTCGGCACTGTGTGTCATCGTGCCAAACAGGGACTAGGCAGGTATGTGACAGCAGAGAGGCAGAGACCAAAGAGGGAGATGCAGTTGTTAGCCCTCGTCACAGAGAAGCGGAGGACTGGGAGGACTGGATAGCCGCGAGAATGCCGGAGCCTTGGCTGGGAGGAGGCCTGTGGGTCTACAGCTGTGTGTACTGGAAATGTGCTGGGACCATGCTTAGCTACCTCCTAATTGTGATCACCCCAGAGTAGGGAGAAGGGCTTGGAATAAAACTCATGTTGCCCAGTTTGATGGTACACACCTCTAATCTCAAAACCCCAGAGGCAGAGGCAAGTGGAGCTCTGTAAGTTCAAGGCCAGCCTGGTCCACACAGTAAATTCCAGGACAGTTAGGACTACACAGAGAAACTCTGTCTCAAGCAAAAAACAAAACAAAACAAAAAGCTCTGTTGCTGATTCTTCTCTATCTATTGACCCAGTAAGTTCATAACCACGTATAGACACCTTTTTCTAAGTTTCCATCTTTAGCCCTCCCTATGGAACTCACTCTGTAGCTCAGCCTGTCCCCGAAACTCAGCAATGCTCCTGCCTCAGCTTTTCTAGTTCTGAGATAGCAAGCATGAGCTCTTATTATGTTTTAAAAAGTTGTCCCTGTGGATGTGTCGGTGCTTCCCAGCTTCATGGTTGTCCCTGTGGATGTGTTGTTGCTTGACCTCCACACTCGGCTTCCCAGCTTCACGGTGAGCAATGGTGTGATCTTCAGGAGGGTAAGAAGAGGGCCAGTTAGATGGATGGTAGCTGATTCATCAGCAGTGAACACCAGTTGTCACCCTCCAACCCCACCAACCTGAAAGCCTGGCTCTACCCAAGGCTAACACAGTTTCCCAGCAACCCCCCCCCCAGACACAGATCAGCAAACTGCAACCCATACAGTCCTTAAAGCTTCAAGCAGTTGAAGAGAAAAAGCAAGAAAAAATAGTATTTCATAAAGTAAGAAAATGATAAGAGCCGGGCGGTGGTGGTACATGCCTTTAATCCCAGCACTCGGGAGGCAGAGGCAGGCAGATCTCTGTGAGTTCGAGGCCAGGCTGGTCCAACAACCTCCAAAACAATACAGAGAAACTGTCTCGTAAAAAAAAGAAAGAAAGAAAGAAAGAAAGAAAGAAAGAAAGAAAATGATAAGTGGTGGTGCATGACTTTGATTCCAGCACTCAGGAGGCAGAGCCAGGCAGATTCTCTGAGTCTGAGGCCAGTATGGTCTACAAAGTGAGTTCCAGGACAGATAGGTCTATACAGAGAAACCCTGGAGAGACGGGTGGCGGGGGAATGTATGTGTGTGTGTGTGTGTGTGTGTGTGTGTGTGTGTGTGTGTGCGTGCATGCGCACGCGTGCCTGCATGAAGGTGCCTATCTATGCCTTGCATACAGGCACAGAAACGAGAAGAAGATGTTGTGTCTTCCTTTTCCTTTGAGGCAGTATCTCTCCCTGAAAGCGGGCTCACATTTCCTCAGCCAGCCTGGAAAACTGCGAGCTCCAGCAACTCTCCTCCCTCCACCCTCCTCAGAGCTGGGGTTATGGCATCCGTGGGGATATCCTGTTTGTTTCATGGATGCTGGGATCTGAACTCTGCTCGCCATGATTTCAGATCAAATGCTCTTAACTGCTGAGCCATCTCTCTAGCAAGAGTCATGTTTTACGGGTCCACAGCCACACCCACTCATTTGGGAGTTGCCCATAGCTGCTTCCCAATTACAATGGCAGAACCGAGGAGACCCACAAAGCCTGCAATATTTATTGTGGGGCTCCTCTGGCATATAACTTGCCTGTCATGTGATGGATGAGCCGCGTGGTCTGGCACCCTGCTTGGTTCTTGTGTCCAACCCTCCACAGTAAAAGAGCATTTGAAGCCCTCTTGCCATGGTGGGCAGCCTCCCCACACGGTGATGCTTTGAGAGCCCCTCTCCCATGATTGGAGATTTCCATGGCTGGCACTCTGGTTTACTCATTCCCAAGTCTCCAGCCTTTGGCACCGGCCTCGGGCAGCATTTGCTGAATCGCACAGACTTCTGCTGTTGCCCATCTGTAAACACTTCAGGTTCTTGTGGTTTTTCCTGACTTGCCTGAACACCAGCCAAGAGGCCTGGTGTGGGGAGGTCAGGTGGATTGCACAGATATGAGTTCAGGTCAGGAAATGTGGTAATTCAGGGGCTTCCCCATGCAAGCTTACTCTGCCCAGCCAGGCAGGTGATAGCCAAGTCCAGCTGGGCAGCAGTAGTGGGATAGGCATGGCGTGACTGTCCAGCATTGCCTGGAAGAGAGGGAAGTTCTTGTTCTAGGAGACAATCCAGCAGAGTGTGGGCAGGGTGTCATGGAGACTGCTGTTTTGTAGGAACATGTCCTAGATGGGGTCTCCAGTGGCTGCTAACCTGGGAACACCTATGGCTTTCTTGGGTGGTGACCAAGGCCAAGCCCTCTTGATGCTTAATGGAAGAGGATAAGGACCACCCACCGGTACGTGCTTGCATACATACTATCCCTGAACTAACTTAACCACTGGCTCACTGTAGGATTGCCATTGATTATGCCAGGGCTTTCAAGGACACCAGTCTAGCCAGATCCAGGGACCTCAAGGCAGGCCTCCTGATTCACTGTGATTTGTGGGAACTTTGAGGACCCAGACCACCATTCTGATTCCCTTACCATGGAAAATCCTCTAAAACCCCAAACTCCAGTCATTCCTTTCTAGTTGGCTTTTTGTTTTTGGAAAGACTTGGGGTTTTCTAATGAGCATTCACAGGGCTCTGTGGCTGTAGATGTTCCCGGGGTCTGCTGTTTGGAAAGGACAGTGACTCGTCCTCCTTGGCAACACCCTGAAGGACTGATTCCTTTCTTTGAGGAAAATCTGTTTTTCATGTGTATATGTGTATGGTGTGTGTGCACATACGTACACATATTCATGCGTGTAGACATACGGGTGTCTGAGACTGACATTTCTCGCCTTCCTTCGTCACTCTCTCCGCCTTTTCCTGATGAGACAGAGCTTCTTACTAGCCCTGGAACTTGCAGTTTTACCCTTGGGTGAGCTAGCTTGTTCCAAGGATCATCTGTCACAGTCTCTGGGCCCTGGGATTCCAGGCAGGCCACCATGCCTACCTGGTTTTTCAGTTAAGTTCTAGGGAGCCAAACTACTGTCCTCATGCTCACATGGCAAGAACTTTACCAGCTGAGCTGTCTCTCCTTGGATCCTACTCCAATCACTCCCTCCCTGGAGGTAATGCCTCCTCTTTCCCTGATCCCTGGCTTCTTGGGACAGTGTGGTGGGACTCTCTGAGACTGCAACTCACAGATCTCTGAACAGGCAGCCGTGGAAGCCACTGTCCTCAGAAGGAATTCACTATGTGTCCTTGTCTCTCTGCAGAAATGGACGAGGTGGCCAGGATCATGCCACGTCAAACCTGGTGTGGCTCAGGACTTGTTTGATGTTTGTGTCTGCCATGAAGCTCAAGGCCTGAAAAGGAGACTCTTCAATCCAGAGCCAGGAAGACATGGCTCGCAGGGGTTCCAGATGTGAACTTGGGTCCTGGTGGTCAGGGCAAGGACTGGTGGGACAGCTCTTCTAGCTGACTCTTTGCATCTCTGTCACACATACCAGACAACCTCCTTTCCATGAGGCCGCCACAGAGGCAAGGGTTCAAATCCCAGCTGGGTCACTTCTCAGTCACTGAGTTGGGGGGGGTGAAGGGTTGTTGGAGTGCCTTGTGTGGCCTTGTGTTCAAGCCCTTCCTGACTATGGAAGGCCTGAGAATGAAGAGTCAGAGAAACAGGAGATACATGGAAGTTATGTAGGAATAACTCTGGGGGCGCTACCTCAAGCCCCGTGGGTTCACTGGGTTGTATGCACAATAAATTAAGGAAAAGACAAAGGACAGCTGAGCTGTGTCACTTGTCGTATCGTGGGTTTGTGGAGGTCTTCTGGGTGCTTCAAGTACAGAATGGAGCTGCGGTGAGGGTGGGGTCTGGGAGAGCATACTCTATTTTAGGAGGCGTGCAGAGGAAATTACCACAGAAGGCAGGGTGAATGGGGGACGCTTGAAGTAGCCAGCAGCCTGTGGTCAGAGCCAGGTCCAGGGCAGAGCTGGGAGAATCTACTACAGAGGCGTTGCAGCAGACCTGGGGTGAGGGGCAAGCTCCATGGTGACACACACCTGGAATCCAGGCACTCCAGAAGCTGGGGTGGAAGATGCTAAGTTCCAGGCTGGTCACATAGCAATATCCTCTTGTAAAACAAACCAAAACCCAAGAGGCTGGCATGTGGCGGGGATAAGAGGGTGTGGTGGCTTGAAAGACAGCGGCCCCCACAGGCTCGTGGGTTTGCATGTTTAGCCCCCAGTCGAACTGTTTATGAAGCATTAGGAGGCGTGGCCTTGTTGAGGAGGCGTGTCACTGGGAGGGGCCTTAGGGGTTTCAAAAGCCCACACCAGGCCTGGTGTCTCTTTCTCTTTGCTTGACTGCCTTCCAGTGAACCGGGATGAAGCTCTCAACCCTATGCCTGCCCGACATGCTCCCTGCCATGATGACAGACTACCCTCTGAAGCTGTAAGCAAGCCCCCAGGTAGATGCTTCCTTTTATAGGAGCTGCCTTGGCCGTGGTGTCTCCTCACAGCAACGGGACAGTGACTAAGACAGAGGCGGAAAAGGGGGAGAAGGAAGGCAACAAGGAGAAGATGTGGGGACAGCCATGCTGGGCAGCTCACGCGGGCAGGTGCGTAGTGGGACTAAGAAGGGAGCTCGTGTGCTGAGGGTCACCCAGCAGGTGCACAGTGGGGTTTGGACCAAGGCAGGTAGATTGGCACCTGGTCTTATTGTGAAGTCTGAGCTCTGTCACCTGTGCCCAGGCAGTGTCAAGAGAGAGCACCCAGCCTGGCCAGACTCCATACCGCTTAACTCAGTGGGAGCAGGGCATTTGGGCTCCTCCTGGGCTCCATTCGGTCTTAGACAGGGAAGTTCAACAGGAAAATCTGGGGCATGAAAACAGCCCGGAGGCTGTTGGAGCACATCGTACCTCAGTGTATGTGATAGGAAGCCATGCCTACACCCTCCAGTTCCTGGACTCTCCATCCCTCCCAGTCCTCTGTGGCCGGCCCCTCCCTGGCAAGTGCTTTCTAGGATCCGCTGACCTGATCACAAGCCCTCGTGTTCCTGCACTTACCCTCTTTGCTCTCAGATCTCTGCGTGGTAAGTCTTCCTAGATCCAGAAGATTTCCCGCTCGGCCGAGCCTAGGACTTGACAGAGCTGGCAGTGTCTGCATGCTGGCCTGTTGGTGTGACCTTTCTAGAGGCAACGATGACCAGTCTTGTACCAGGCTCCTGTCCTCTCTCCTGCAAGCCCTCTGCAGGGTTCCCATTCCCTCACTGCTCCTCCCTCCTATCCGTGTCTGCCCACTCCTTTTATCTCTTTTTCCGTTCCTTCCCACTTCCCTCTCGCCCCTCCTTTTTTTTCCTTTTGACAGGATCTCTGGTAGCTGAGGCTGGCCTCCAGTGTATCAGAGGATGGCTTTGAACTTCTGATCCTCTTGTCTTCATCTACAAGTGCTGGGATTACCAAGCTCCGCTTAATGCAGAGCTGGGGCTAGAACCTGGGACTTCCTGCATGCAAGGTGAGCACCCTACCATCTAAGCCATTCCACAGCCCCTATTTAACTCCTTTCTGTGCATGCAGCAATAGTCCTGGAGGCCGAGCAAGGCTTTGCAGTGAGCTGGCCTAATAGGCTATGCAGGGAACTGCAGGTCTCAGACGGATACAGATGCCATCCTTCCTGCGGCTCTGAGCTCCCTGACCTCTCTGCGGTGGTCTGTATTCCTCAAACATCAGGCTCTACAGCAGAGCCCCTTGTGCCCAGCCCCAGCCCTCCTTCTGCTGCCTCACTCAGCCCTCTGGAGCAGACCAACTATGGCAACAAGAGCCTTCAAGTCACCCTGGGCTGTCCCCTTCTCTGCTGACCCTGCAACTGCACCCAAGATCCCCACAGGGTCTTGAATCTGTGAACTCTCCCCCCTCCACCTCCATCACCTGCTGGAGTCCCCGGGGTCTTTACCTTCAATAATAGCAGTGGCCCCTGTGGCCTCTCTGAGTTCACTCTGACCATTCTCCATGCAGCAGCCAAGGAGCCTCCTGGGTCAGCCCCTGGCCACGGCCCACACCCCCCAGTCCACGGAGCTCTCCAAGAAGCCATCTCCGACCTTTCTCGTGAGCCCTCTTGCACCTGACCACCCCCCCCTGAGCACACTGGCCATCATCCAAACCTCTACCCATGAGCCTTTGCACAGGCTCTGCCCACGCCTACGGGATGGCCCCTTGTGCTCTGTGCAGCCTGGCCCGTCGTAACACTGCTGGAGGTATTCCCCTGCCACCCCCCCCACCCCCGTCTGCTTTCCCAGCAGCGTCTATCTGATGGAAGTGTGGAAGTGTGTGCTTCTCCTCAGCTAGATGACAAACCCACAGGACGAGGGATGCTGGCTACGCCAGGCCTGCACCAGAGCGAGGCCCAGCCCAGTACTTGCAGACTCTTGGTAGAGTTCACAGACTTTTGCTGCCTTGTGCAAAGGCAGGCCTTTCTGCCTCGTCAACCCTGTGTTTACGGTTTGTCCTACAGAAGTTACCAGACAGATGTGCATGGGGTACATGCATCAAGATACTCACTGCAGGGTTGTGGGTGTAGCTCAGTTGGTAGCGAGTTTACCTAGAATGCATGAAATCCTGGGTTCAATCCCCGGCACTGAACTGAAAGCCAGGCATGGTGCCACATGCGCATGCCCAGTGCTTGAGGAGTGGGAACCACAAGATGAGAAGTTCAAGGCCATCCTTGACCACACAATGAATTCTTTGCCAGCCTGGAGTTACATGGGACTCTACTTTTAAAAGAAAAAATAATAATAATTGATTGTACGGCTGCTTGTTTGCATGGCAACCCGTAGTAAACTAGGTGTCCATGGGCAAGGGATTGATTCAGCAGTCACAGCCAAAGGGTGCAACAGGAGATGAGCCCCAAAGCACTGATGTGTCACCAAGGAAAGGAAGGGGATTGTGGTGGGGACACACATTCATCATAAGGGAGTCCTGGAGGGCGGGAACTCTGATAGCATCTGTAAACATGATTATTGATGGATGGACAAAATGCCAGAGAATCAAGCTCTGTTCCTTGGCTGGACCAGAGAAGGCAGCACCCCACGCTGGAGGCACAGCTAGCATGGAAGCCCGGGTCTCCTTCCCAAGACTCTGGACCTCATTGTGAGAGGCTTAGCCAAGCCCTTCAGCAGCTTGCCAGCCTGCCCCAGGCTCACAGCTAAGGCTGGCCTTGAACTCACTATCCTCCTACCGAAGCCTCCCAGGTACTTGGAATCACAGATGTGCTATAGCTCACTCAGCTTCAGCCCTGTCCTATGTGCTATGTCCCCACTGTGTACTGCTCAGGAAGAAGCTCTGACTGCCCATCTGCAAATGAACCCCAGACATCCCCCCCTCGGTGCTCCCAGGGCCCTAGGAAACTCACCTATGGACTGGAGGAATATGGTCCCATTCTCTACACTTAGGCCTCCTCCACCCCAAAACAGCCCTCCCCAGGCACCCTTAATGAGGAGATCCAGGGAGCCTGGTGCCCACAGCAGGCCTGGGTAGAGCTAGCTTCCCTGTAATTAAGGCAGGAGGAGGCTGGGAGCCGGGATCCTGTCATCCAAGGTGGGGGGGGGGGGGGGAGGGGTGAAGGAACAGGAGGAGCCTTCTTGTGGCCAGGCTGACCACATCTGCAGCCGCTGGCTCTCTGGGAGCCACTGCCAGCTGGGAAGGCCCTAGTGTAGGTGTCGTTATGTGTCAGCATCGCCTTGGTCCAAGCCCATTCAGTAGAGGACAGTACCATGGGCTCCTAGCAGGAAAACCTTCACCTGAGCCCTGTAGATGTCTGCCTGTCCCCCATCCCTCTCCTCTTGATCCCTCTACCCCAACTCCATGGCCATTCTTCCAAAATCAGCGGATCACTGAGGCGTGGCTCCTAGGAGTCAGCAGTGCGGAGGGGCAGACGGCTTCTCCTCTCCTGCAAGAGCGGCTGAGCGTGGGGGAGGTTGGGAAGGAGACGTTCAAAGGCTCACCCGGCATCCCCTGGAAAGGAGGTCAACCTCTGAACGGATGCTTCCAGCCCCCTGTGGCCCTAGGGTCCAGCTCTGTTCCTCCTGGCTCTGTCCTGGTGCTCTCTCCCCTGTCCAACCCATCCAGATCCTGGTCACATTTCTCCTGCTGGACCCAGATGAAGTCTTCCCTGCTATGGTCCTGGCCTGCAGTGCTTGGAGCAGAGTGATGCTGAGCTAATGACAATATCTTTGGCACGAAGGCTGTGGCCTCTCTAGGACACAGACCTGCCCGGCTCACACTCACAAGCTGTGGCCTGGGCATACCTCTAAGCTGCATGGTACTTGTCTGTGAAATGGGTTTCTATGAGAAGTAACCCTTGGGAGGCTCACAGGAGCCAGCGTGGGTAAACACTCCAAATGGTACCACTTGTTGCCGTGTGACCGCAGCTCCTCTTGTTGAAGCTGTATACACACACATTCAGCCCATCCTGTCCCATCATTCCCGCTGGCCAGAGAGGCCTTTCCAAGGGACCTGGGATCATGTCACCAACCAGATGTCCAGTCCCATCCTCTCTGCCTCCCTCTCCACTTTTTATCTTTTCATTCTAGCCTCGAGAACACATCTGACAAATGTCTGCTGTGCAGGCGTCTGTACCTGGCTAACTCCTATGCATCCTTGGGGACCTGGCTGAGGGAGCACCGTGGCCGTCTCTCTCATTCCAGTGAGGCCCACGCCGCCGAGCTCCCGAGGAACTACTGTGCAGCACACTCCATTGCATTTGCTATGAGACCCGGATGCTGTTGCCCCTGCAGTGGGCTCTCTGCTGCAGACCCAGCACAGTACAGTGTCTGGCAAGGACTGGATTTTCAAAAAATATTTAGTGACTGAATGGATGGATGAGTCAATTTCTGCATCCCACACTGCAGGAAGTGTCTGAGAACAGATTTGAGTGGGAGGTTCCTGCAAGGCCTGGGAGAAGCCCCTGGGCTTTGGGGCTCTAGGTGGTGAACAGCAGACACCCCTATCTCCTCCCACGAGTAGGTCAGCCTCCCCCGACCATTGGCACAGGCCCCTGGGGCCCCAGAGCCGGCTTTCCAGATGTTAAGCCCCACATCTGTCTTACCTCCTAGCTTTTCCATCTGCACTGCCGGTCCAGATCCCCGCAGCCAGCATCGCGGGCAGCCAGGCCAGCCATCCCCAGCGGCTTCCTATTTTAGACATCTCGCCGCCTCGGTCCCTTCTAATGTTTCCAGGCAGGCTGCGGGGGGAGGAGAAAGAGGTTACTGCTACTTTAAATGTACTGTATGAAGGCGAGGGCTGGAAAGGGGCCTGCTTGCAGGAATACCCAGTCATCTAGTTGGAGAAGCCGCCAGATGGAATACAAAAGAAGCTCAGGCGCTCATGGAGACGGCCTCGGTTCATAAATCAGGTGGGGCAGCGGCCCAGGGGCCCACACACCATGGAGCCCGACTCCCTCCTGGACCCAGGCGACTCCTACGGTAGGTGAGCCGAGCCAGCTAAGCGGCTAAGTGGCAGAGTTTGGGATTTTAGCCCACTGCTCCAGCAGACTTTGCTTAGCTGTGGGAGTCAGAGTTGAAGGGGTCGGGGGAGGCAGGCATCTGGGTGCCATCTGGCCTCCGGGATCGGGGCAGGCATGGGTGTCCTGGATCATGGGTCAGGGGGCTGAAGGCTCCGTCTCCTTAGACGTGGCACTGGCATGGTCCAGTAACAGGGTTGTTTCTTGGCTGCTTGAACTTTGCTCTTGGCTAGAAAGGAAAGTAAGTTTATAGCCCCCTGTTCCTCTGTCGCACTCACCGTCCCCCAGGTCTGCTTGCTGCTGTGGCAAATTCAATTAGTGAGGTCTGTAGAGAAACAGAAATGAGCAGGCAACTGAATGTACCTTGTAATTAAAGGCCAGGGCTGAGCTGAAAGCTGCCAGCTCCCCACTCTGGTACAAAAGGCCCCAGGCTGCTGTAGCTGGGAAGCTGCCCTGCTCAGCTCCCCGGGGCCACCGGGAGCCCTGAGCAGAGCTGGAGAAAAGTTGCAGGGGTCAGAGCCCAGGCTGTGGTTCCCCCAGGGAGTTTCATCAGGCTTGGGACCCCCGCCCCAGGGACGCAGGTACCCAAGCTTACTGTGTAGTTCGCTGTCCAGACCACTGCCCATTTGGTCAGGATGCTGGCACACGGTGGCTGTCTCCCAGCAACAGAGAGCAGCAGGAGGGCGGGAGCATAGCTGAGGCCAGGTGGAGGGTTTTGGTGGTGAGACAGGGCCGTTAGCCTCAGATAGGGAGGCCTTCTGTAAGTAATGACTTAGGTGAATCTTCTCGGGCTGTAGCCCTCTGGAGACCTTTTTTCTCCCTCCAGACTCCCTTGCTCCAGCGGGCCTGGCAGCCTGGCCCAGAGTCAAGGCTAAATTCCAGTCGTCCTGCAGCAGCCCAGCTCTGTCCATGTTTCAAGCTGCAGCCCTCAGGAGAGCTAGGCCAGGCCCTACTACAGACGGACCTGGCATCTTCAGACAGTCAGGCGACCTGTGGGTCACTTAATCCAAGTAACCGTCAGTCCTCGGAGGGTGGGGGAGGGGAGGGGAATACAGCTTCCCTTCTGGAAGAGGTTTTAGTCCGGAACGGAGGCCATCCATGATCCCCAGACCTGCTTTAGGGGATGTATTCCTGATGGGGAGCCTGGGGATACATGGTCTGGGCTGTGAGATAGGCTTACTGCTTCCATAGTTGTCTACCTCAAATGTGGCCTGGCCTGGGCATAACTCATAAAGGCTCCTTCATGTTGCCCAAGGGAGACGCAGACCCAATCCAACCTGGGGGATCATGGGGGATATGGAGCAGTGGCCTGGACCAATCTGACAAAGCAAAGTTCTGGTGGTCCAGGAGCAGCTCCCCACTCAGGGACATATCAGGAGCCAACAGGCCCCCTCTTAGTCCTCTGGGTTTGCCAGCAGCAGCCTCTGGGCAGGAGGAGGCTGGAAACTGAGGCAGATCCCATCTCAGTGGAGTGCAACCTGCCCCTTGTCTTAGCCTGTTGGTCTTCTGGATTCTGCGAGGGCAGAGTGCGTGTGTCTTGGACCTGGGAAGGAGGCACAGTTACAGAAGAGGATCCAGGGAAGGTCAGGAAGGGCAGAGGAGGGGCCCCTGAGAGCGAACTCTCTCTGGGATTGGTCCCGGAGCTGAGCAGGCCCTGGCCTCCCAGCAAGCCAGCCTCAGAGGTCTGCCTAGGGCTGAAACCCATCCTGGGCCAGAGCAAGAGACAAAGCCTCCTCCAGCCCTCCCAGGTTAGTCCGTGAGTGGGGACTGCCCCCAGGAAGGAGCCCAGGCATTGTGGAGCCCCTTATCCCGGTATCTGGGAAGGCTTTCCAAAAGAGGTGACTTCCCGACACTGGTAGCCCGTCAGAGTGGATGGCCACCACACAATGTTGTAGGATGGCCAGTCTTCACTGTCCCAGAAGCTAGAATATAAGACTGTTTCCGGTGACCTGGTTTCTGCCGAGGGCTCCCTTCTGTTGAGTTGTCACATGGTCTTGCCTCAGTCTGTGCACACGGAGAGAAAAGATGAGTGCTTTGGTTTTGCCGGATCAGGGAGCCACCTCATTTAACCTTGGTTTCTTCCATGAGGCCCCATCTCCATGTCCTGCCCACTGGGAGTGTGGGCAGGTCTCAGGTCCTCCACGACCCCGTCCCTGAACGCTTCCTTCTGGCTTCTCGGACAGACACACCTGTGGCTTCCTCTCATTTTTTGACCCCTCTTTCCTTCTATCCACGTGACCTTGCTTTCGGTCTGAGCCACCCAACTGCTCTTCCTTCTCCAGCTCTGCTGTCCCGACCACTCCATAATGTCCTGACCACTCCATGCTGTCCTGTCCCGCCCACTCCAGGGTCTTGCACCTGCAGTTTCCTGTCTGGGGCATTCTCCCACTTTCTCTGTGCTGATCTAACTTCTGTTTCTTGTCCTAGCTGCTGGAGGTTGTATTTTCTGAGAAGCCTTCTCCCTCTAGGGCATGCTCCCCATTCCATTGGACCTCACCCCTCAGTGTCTCTTGTCCAGTCTGTTCTGGTCTGTGGATTTCATTGGTATGGGATTAACTGCACAGCCCCCTTTAATCTCTAAACTCTCTGAATCCTCAGAGCACACCTCTCTGCTTGGCATTGGTGGGCACCCAAATAGACTGGTGAGTGGGCAAGGAGCTGAATGAATGCAGTTCACCCAGGCAAAGAGGCCAGGAAGGCGTCCCGGGCAGACGGAAGGAGGTGGGAAGGCCCGGGGGCCGGGACGCTGGAAGACTCAGCTGAGCTCTTTGAAAGGCCCTGGGGACCTGACGGGTAAAAGTTGGATGTATCCAAGCTGGGTGGAACTCTGGGCCCTCCTCCCTTCTTCAATTGTGCAAGACAGCTTGGCTTCCATTCACAGGTGTTCGGGGAGTTGGCCACAGGGCAGGGTCATAGCTATCACACTTATGTGCAAAAGATATGGGACACACCCTTCAGTCCCAGCACTCTGAAGGCAGAAACAGGTGGATTTCCATGAGTTCAAGGTCAGCCTAGTCTACAGAATAAATTCCAGGACAGCCAGTCTCAAATAGATAGATAGATAGATAGATAGATAGATAGATAGATAGATAGATAGATGAATGAATATCAAGACTAGAGAATGTAACATGATAAATAAATGACCCAGAGACAGAGACTGAGGCTCAACCTGAAGATCGGGAAGCAAAGCAGAGGCCGCTAGCCCTTACCACTGCCTCAGGCTGAATGGGCTGATCCTGCTGTCTCTCCTCATTGTGACTGGAGAATGAATGCTCCCGTCTTCAGCATGGCTAGAGAATGAACTCAGTCCTTGCTTCTGTTTTACATACCTCTCACGAGTCCTGAGATTAAAGGTGTGGGATACAATTCTCTTTTAGACTGATTGACCTTTGTGTAGATCTGGGTGGCCTTGGACTCACAGAGATCCGTCTACCTCTTAATCCCGATTCCTAGGATTAAAGGTGTGCACCACCACCTCCTAGCTTCTGGGTGCTGGGATTAAAGGTATGTTCCTGACTTCCAGGGATTGTGGCTGACTTTGCTTTCTGAATCCTCAGGCAAGCTTTAATAAATCATAAATAACATATCACTGCATGCAGGTCTCCTTGGTCAAGGCCAAAGAGGGCTAGGGGTCAGAGCAGACTGAAGAGCAGGGTCTTGCAGCTAATCAGAGGCAGCATGCTCTAGGCTCCTAGTGTGCCTTCACTAAGCTGACTCCTATCTAAGACCCTAAAAAGTCAAGGGCAGAGCCTGTCTTGCCTGCATCGGGAGCTCTGCGGTAAGGGTGCAGTCATGTATTGTGAGTGAATATGGTATTATTTCCGGTGAAGCAATCACAGCTCATTCCCCTCAGTACTGGAGATTGAGCCCAGGACCCCAAACGTGCCAGACAAGGACTCAGCCACTGACCTGCGTCCTTAGCCACACACCCTCTCTTTTATTTTGAGACAGGGTCTTATCACATAGCCTTGGCACTAAGCTATATAGACAAGGCCAACCTCAGACTCACAGACATCCACCTGCCTCTTCCTCCCAAGTGCTAGGACTAAAGGCGTGAGCCACCACACCACAGCTTTTGTTTTTGTTCTTTATTTTAAAACAGGGCCTCTGTAAATTAGTTAACCAGGCTAGCAATGAACTCATTCTGTAGCTCAGGCAGGACTCAAACTTGACAACCGTCCTGCCTCTGCTTCCTGGGCAACTGGAACCGCAGACCTGTGTCACTAGGGTCAGCTAATCGCACTATTTTTGGAGTACTTGCTCTGAGTCAGGTGCCAGGAAGTGTCTCTGCTGCACACGGTCCACCTGAGTACTCACAATCAGCCTGTGGGTGCTGTTGGCCTATTCTCTAGAGGGGTAAACTGAGGCTCAAGGGAGTTGAGAGCGCACGGTAAGAGCGGTGAGCAAACCCACGATGCCAGGTTGCAGAGCCCGGGGCCTTTCTCTTGCGGCACTACCTGAGAGCCATCGCTGGGCCCACGCTGCCTGTCACCCGTGGGCCCTCCCGTTTGCTGTGGGAAAGCTCCCCTTCTGGGAACCGATTGCTGAGCCAGCTCAGGACTGAGTGTGACTATGTGACACTGCAAGAACCAGTGTCAGCTCACTAGGGGACAGCAAAAGGCAGGCACAGCTGTCGCGGGATGGGGCTGGTCTAGAGACAGAGCTATTCTGGGGCTCAAAGCTGTCACAAGCCTGATGTCATGATGCCCTGTGCCTTCCCCCGAGCTGGGGAGGCCAATGGTGGTGTCTAGGGCTTTGTCTCAGCTAGCCAGGAGTGAGGCTAATGGCA